GGAGGCGGGGAGGGTGTGAGGGGGAGACAGCGGAGCGTGGGCGTGACGGGGGGTCGTGAGGGGTGAGGAGCAGACGGCTGGCGTGTGGAGGGAGGGGGGAGGCGAGGCGTCTGGGGGAGCCGGGGTAGAAGGAAGCGCTGGGAGTCGTTGGGGGCTTTGGTGGTGATGGGGGGGGGTGGTGACTGTGGTGGTGAGGAGGGCCCCTTTGAGAGTGGGAGGGCATCCGTGGGATTGAGCGGCTAGGCTGGGATGCTGGTGATGGAGTAAGGGTGGAAAACCAGGAAGGAGGAGGACGACCAGGGAGAGCAAGGGAGTAAGGACACGGGTGTGGAGGCTCCGACAGTCCGGAGTGATGGGAGAGGAGGGAAAGGGGAATACTGGGAAGAGTTTTGGGGAAAGGACTTGGCAGGGGCCTGGCTTCTTTTTGATTATCCCGGTCTTTGTTGGTCCCAAGATACCTTGGTATGAATAAGGTTGAGAAGTTACATGTGGAGGTAAGTACATCTGTGTGAAGTGACATCTGGATTCTGTTCTTTCAGGTCAAAGAAAACAATTATCGGGGACATGGGGATAGCGTGGACCAGCTTTGTTGGCATCCAAGTAATCCTGACCTCTTTGTCACTGCATCCGGAGATAAAACCATTCGCATCTGGGACGTGAGGACTACAAAATGCATTGCCACCGTGAATACTAAAGGTAACTGTCCCGAGAGGGCAATAGGAAGATAGGCTGTTTGTGTTCATTGAGCGAACATTTGCCAAATGTCTTCTCTGCTGCCTGGCACTCTGCTTGGTATGAGACATCCTGAGCAGAATAGGAGTGTCCAGTTCCAAGCACCTCGTGGTTTAGTGCAGGAAGAGAGACATATGTACAGAAATTGCGTAAAATATGATTCATTTTATAGTGGAGATGTCTTCAAGGTGGGTACTCTGAATAGAAATGTAGACATCTGCCTGGGGGAGACAGGGAATGCCGTACAAAAATTGAGCAAACTCTTAGAGTGGCCATGGGAATTTAGTAGTGAGTCAGGTTGCAATGGGTGAGGACCAGGGCAGTTCTAGGAGGGAACAGCGTGTGCAAAGGCGTGGACACTTGGGAAATTGTAATGGGTTAGAATGGCTGAAACTTGGGTGGTCTTGGTGGTCTGGGAGAAAATGAGCAGGTAGTTGTGCCATACATTTATAGGCTCTGTCCTTACCAGGTAAATATTTTGTAAATCTTTTATTTTTTTTTAAATTGAAGTTTCACTCCGTCATGCAGGTTGGAGTACAGTGGTACACTCGTGGCCACCCCAGTGTCGACCTCCTAGGCTCCAGCAGTCCCTCTGCCTCAGCCTTCCAAGCAGCCAGAGCTACAGGCGTGTGCTACTGTGCTCGGCTAATATTTGATTTATTGTCAAGACGAGGTCTCACCAAGTTCCCTGGGCTGATCTTGGACTCGCGGACTCCCAGAGTGCTGGGATTACAGGCCGAGCTACTGAGTCTGGCCTATTTTGTCTTAAGACCATTTATCGTAATTGACTCTAAGATTGTAAGATGTGCCAATATTTTATGTGCTGTTAGAAAAGAAAGTTGCCAAATAACCATGTTATATGCAAAATTTTGAATTGGTAAAGTTGATGACATTTTTAACTGATGGGTTCAATGTGGACCACTGAACTTTGTTGACAAGACTTGTATCTGGAGACAGGATAGTGTAGTGCTTTCCTCAAGTATACCACTGGTGATGCATGAATGATTTAGGTGATACATATGTGAACATTAAAAACCAGTTATGTATATATGAATGTCCATTAGAAGCACTAGCTCATATACTTTATTGCTCAATTGAAGCTAAATTTATTGAAGTACATTTTAAAAAATCAACTTTAAGAAAAGTCTTGAATAGAGAAAATTATAGCTGTTACATGAACAGGACAGAAATTGTGAAGGTAGCTTGTGAATGACTAGAATTTGAGAAATGCTGGTAAAAGAGAGAACAGGGGGCTTTGGGGCCAAATCTGGGTTTAAGTGTTTTCTCTATGACTTTCATGGCTTTGACACTTGGGCTCATCTTCTTATCTTTTGTTTCTTCATCTATATAATGGGGATACTGTAATAAAGTGTATCTTAGGGAAGTATTTTTAAGACCACATGGGGAAATTTGTAGATGAATGTGTTGGGCTGGAACTTTAATTTGAGACCAGATTATAAAAAGCCTTGAATTTTACACTTTCCATCTTGGATCTTATTTTGTAGGCAGTGGGAATTCTATACCTTTTTAAAAAGCCTTTTTATTATAAAACACATATAGAGTCAGAGTCTCACTCTGCCACCCAGGCTGGAGTGCGGTGGCATACCACAGCCACCACAGCCTCGATCTGCTGGACTCAGGCTATCCTTCCACCTCAGCCTTCCAAGTAGCTGGGACTATGAGCATGCACCACCATGCCTGGCTGAATTTTTTTTTTTATAAATTTATTGTAGAGACAAGGACTCACCAAGTTGCCCAGGCTGATCTTGAACCCCTGGATTCAGGCAGTCCTCTTGCTTCAGCCTCCCAAAGTGCTGGGATTACAGGCTTGAGCCTCCACGCCCGGCCATATTGATCCTTCAGTGGTAATTCCCTTCCATTGACCAAGACCTTAATGAATGAGCTCTGAAGATAGCTCTGGTCTTCCTTCTAGGGTAGCAAAATAAACTACTGGAAGATTATGAGCAGACAGATTATCTTGCTGATTACATTTGGGTTCGCAGGGGAGAACATTAATATCTGCTGGAGTCCCGATGGGCAGACCATTGCTGTAGGCAATAAGGATGATGTGGTGACCTTTATTGATGCCAAGACTCACCGCTCCAAGGCAGAAGAGCAGTTCAAGTTTGAGGTCAACGAAATCTCCTGGAACAATGACAATAACATGTTCTTCCTGACAAATGGCAACGGCTGTATCAACATCCTCAGGTGAGGGGGTCTAGCATAGGGGCCTGTCGTATCCTTGTGCTGAGTGCTGTGACTTATACAGAGATGAGTTACATGTGAGTCAATCCTGAAGGAGCTTTGAAGGCCAGTAGTAAGAAAGAGTCCTAATCGCTGTTTGGCACACTTGAGCTTTATATTTTATATGCTTTATGTGTTCCTGAGTCCTCATGGAAATGTTAGGGGGTTGATGGTATGCTTCCCATTTGACAGAGGAGGATCTGAGGTTGAGAGGTTAAGTCACTAGTTAGCTAGTGGATGCTAGAACTAGATGTTCCTTGAATTGTGACTAATGTGCACCCCTAAAGTTTCACCTTAAATATCACTTTCTGCCCAGGAGTTAGAGACTAGCCTGGGCAACACATCAAGACCTCTTCTGTACAAAAAAAATTTAAAAGTTAAAAAAATTAGCCAAAAAAAAAAAAATTACTTTCTGGCTGGGCACAGTGGCTCTTGCCTATAATCCCAGCACGTTGGGAGGCCAAGGTAGGAGGATCATTTGAGGCCTGCCTGGGCACATAGTGAGACCCCTATGTCTACAAAAAAAAAAAAGCCTGACATGATGGCACCTACCTGTAGTCCCAACTGCGTGGGAGGCTAAGGTGAAAGGATTGCTTGAGCTCAGGAGGTTGAGGCTGTGATGAGCCAAGGCTGTGGTGAGTCATGGCTGTGCCACTGCACTCCAGCCTGGGCAGCAGAGTGAGACTCTGTCTCAAAAAAAAAAAAGAAATCACTTTCTCTCCAAGGAAGTAATCCACCGCACCCCTCAAGATTAAAGGTAGATTAGAGACTTATTTTGTGTGCTTCCAGTTGGAGGCACTTCTAATTCTGTATTATAAATGCACGTTTACTTGCCTATACCATTAGACTGTAAATTCCATGATGGTAGGGACTGTGTTTGCCTTGTTGAATCCCTGATGCCTAGTCCAGTACCCGCTACACATGGTAAGATCTCAGTAAATCTTTGTTCTCTAAATGAATGAAATTGTGGAATTGAAATTGAGGTCTGTTCAATTTCATTCTTTCCTACTCCAGGTGAGCCATCCAAGGCAGAATGAGATAGGTTCTGTGGTACAGAAGCCAGGAGTTTTTGTGAAATTCTAAGGAAAGGAACATTTCACATCGCTGGAGGGTGGGCAGCTTCTGAGCTTGAAAGATAAATGAAGCTCTAAGAATTGCCAAAAGGGAACCGTACAATTGACAGAACAGGTGTGAATGGGCATAACTTTTTCAGAGTGTGGTTAGGTCAGGGTTTCTGGGGAGTGGTGGTAGATAAGGTATGCCAAGAGAGGGCTTGATCACGGGAAGATGAAGTTGAACTTTAATTTGGAACCAGATCATAAGAAGCCTTGAATTTCAACCTTTCCATCTTGGATTTTATTTTGTAGGCAGTGGGGATTCTAGGCCTTTTTTAAAAAAGCCTTTTTTATTATAAAACACATACTGAAGACGACTTAAGAGGTACGTCCTCTCATGCTATTTGGTTACCCAGTAGTATAGTTCATCTATACTATAACTTGATGAACTGCTGTATGCCTAACGTCTGTGTTTGGCAGGTAATGGTGTAAGTTCTCTTGGTAGCCACCTAGAGCTCCAGCATGTGTTTTGTCCGGATCCCAACTCCCTCCCTCAAAAGTAAACACTGTCTTGGCTTTTACAGTGTTTGTTCATAGTTTGACCTGTCATTGTGTGTCCCTGGATGCTCTAGTTTTGCTCATTTAAAAAAAATTTGATGCATCTTTTGAGCCTGTTAAATGGTCCAATAGAAATAACTGAACGGAAGGAAGGAAGGAATGAAAATCCCCCTCTGACCCTTTCTGTTCCTTATAACTTAGCTGTTGAAAACCAGACTGTTAACCTGTGGAGATTCTTCCTGTCTGGAATTTGCTGATTCCATATGCTTATTTATTTGTTGGAATGCTTGATAAAGAGATACATCCTCTCATATGCTATTTGGTTCCCCCGTAGTGTGGTTCACCTGGGGAAGGGAGGATCAGTTCTTCCCAGTTGTCACCACATAGTGAATTAGTTCCTTATTACCTCCAAAGATGACCAGTTAGTTTTTACTTTTTTATTTTTTTAAGAATCATGGACTCATGCATTTCAACATAATTGATGTGTTTCAGTCTATTGAAGTTGTTATATTTATTAGAGATCAAATGGTCTCATTTTTGGTCAGTAAGAGGCTCTTCAAGTTGGTTTCTGAGCTCTTATTTGGACATAATCCTAGTAGTCTTCTGTGCTTGCTTGGTGTAGGATGTTCCACGTTCATCTTGCACATTTCCTGCCCCAGACCTTTAATCAGAAAATTACCTAAGAAGCCTCAGAGTCATTTAATGGGAAATGATACTGAAATTAGGAATGTCCATTGCTGCTGGGTTGGTCATTGTTACTCGACTTTTCCTGTGGACAGGGCTTAGGAAATATATATATATATTTTCAAGTTAAAGTACCTTGGGAATTCTTATTGGTAACTTCCAATTAAAATTCAGGACTATAGGGATTTTACTAAAGTCCTTCAATATTACAGCTATATCTCTTTCGGTCTGAGCATTCTGGTTCTCAAGGACACAGGGCACAGGGTTAGAATATCCCACGGTTACTTGCTACCTTTGTCCCATGTTAAATACTCAGATGTCTCAGAACAATGTTTAATGCAATTACTAAAACAAAAACAACTTGCTTTTTGCATATGCTTTCTGCATTCTCTCTCCATTAAAAAACATAATACAGCCAGGCTCGGTGGCTCAGCCTGTAATCCCGCGCCTTTGGGAGGCTAGGGTGAGTGGATTGCCTGAGCCCGTGGGGTTGAGACCTGCCTGGGCAACTTGGCGAAACCTCATCTCTATAATAAATCAAAAATTAGCCGGGTGTGGTAGCGCACGCCTGTAGTTCCAGCTACTTTGAAGACTGAGGCAGAAGGATCGCTGGCACCCAGCAGGAGTGAGACTTCAACTCAAAAAAATAATAATAATAAATAAAAAAAATAATAATACTACATATTGTCAGGGTATACAGCTATTACATACTGTACCCTCCCTTTAGACTGTATGTAGTTTCTTCAAGAAACTGTGTGTTTGATGGTCATTACCAGCCCTTATGCTCATAAACCTCTAGTAGTTTTGGTTGCTGAAGCTCATTCTCTTGTGAAGATTCCTTAGGAAGGGTTCTTGGGAACATTGTTCCTGAAATGTATTTACATACTTATAAGTATGTATTTATTTATTATTATTTTTATCTTTACAGTTGATGTCAGTTTTGCTGGATACAGAAATCCTCTACTCATATTTTCTTGCTTGTGCATCTTAAATATGGTACCCTGTTTTCTTTTGGCGTCGAGTGTGGCTGTCAGAAAGGCTGATAATCTAATTTTTGTTTTCTTTAAAGTTCATTAATTTTACAGTCTGTGTCTTGATCTGGGTTTATACTCTCAGGTATGTGTTGTGCTCTTTGAATAAACCAGTTTGAAATAATCTTTTTTTGTTTCTGAAAAATTATCTTGCATTACAGTTTTTGGTATTGTTTTATTGTCTTACTTCATTTTCTTCCCTGTCTTAACACTGCAGTCCTCTTCAGCAATTTGATTGCCGTCTGTCTTGTTTCTCAGCTACCCAGAACTGAAGCCCGTGCAGTCCATCAATGCCCATCCTTCCAATTGCATCTGTATCAAATTTGACCCCACGGGGAAGTACTTTGCTACAGGAAGTGCAGATGCTTTGGTCAGCCTTTGGGATGTGGATGAATTAGTGTGTGTTCGGTGCTTTTCCAGGTAAGCATAACTCTGACAGCACTCTCCTTGTTGGGTAAATTAATTTTGTTTCATGCCGGGTGGCACTGTACCCTCTTCTTCCTGGGCAATTCTCCTGTCTCCTCTGTCCCCTCCATATTATAGACTCGATTGGCCTGTGAGGACCCTCAGTTTTAGCCATGATGGGAAAATGCTGGCATCGGCATCAGAAGATCATTTTATCGACATAGCTGAAGTAGAGACAGGTAATCTAATGAGACTCTGCTGACTTTCATCCCTGGCCATTAGAGTGTCTCTTGTCCTGGGATTTTGCTCTCCACGCTTCTGCTTCACCAGCGTTACCATAATTGGATTTGTCTCCTTAGGACAAGGTTGCTTATGTTATGAGTGTCACTGCCAGGTAATGAGGGACCACAGGGCTAGGAAAGAAACAGGCAAGTCTGAAGGAAGTTGATTTAGGAAAATGTTTTGCATTTTCTTTTAATTTTTCCATTATAATGAAATTTTAAAAATACAGAGTAGGAAGAAGAAAAAAGCAACACCTGTGGTCCCACCATCAAACTAGACTCTTTTTTTTTTTGGGTTGTAGTCTTACTCTGTCGCCCAGACTGGAGTGCAGTGGCCGCTCCCGGCCACCACAGCCTCGA